CGCAGCAGAATGTTGCTGGTCTAACTTTGGGTTTATTTATAATAAACATCGTGCACATCTAGATAATGAACTGGTAAAAAAACTTGTTGCAGTCTATTAGAATTTGAGAATTCAAAAAGGAATTGAGATTAATAGTTGGCTCGAAGTAATGATAATTAAATTTATAGGATGAATTAAATTAGAAGAGCGTACAAAAAAAAAAAAAAAAAATCAAAAAAAAAATATATATATAAATAGTTAAGCAATTATATATTTCTTGTAATTATATAATAAACGAAAGTTTATAAAGTGAATATTTTTTCTTGAAGTTATCTCTATGAAATTTGGTGAATTGGCATTTTAGCCCTAAATTTTAAATTTTAGTCTCAGCGCCAATGTTTTAAAAAGTTTTTTAAATGTTTTAAAACATCTAAAAAACTGTTTAAAATGTTTATTTTCATCCCTAGTACAAGGGTGTTATTTTGAAATCTTATTGCTTAAAACTGCGAAAGGAGTTAGATTTCAAAAATCTATCACTTTCTAGTTGACCACTATTATTATTGTAATTGTTACACAAAAATGTCTCATTTACTGTATCATGTGTCATCAAAAATTTTTTTGTAATGAGGCTTGATGGGCTAGCAAATTTTATTTATTAAAATAGAAAATTCTAATAGGATATGCTTAGAACATAATTTAAGAGTTTTTTTTTATAAAATATAAACCTGATATAATCTTTCACCCCACCTTCCTCAAAGTCTGCTCCTTTCATAATAAAATGATGCAAAAGATACATAGAAAAATATCTTTTTGCTTCAATTGTAAAATCTAAAATTTCTTTAAATGTTGGGATATAATTTAAATACTGTTCATGTTGATTTAAATATAGTAAACATTCTTGTCCATATAGGCCAAAAATAAGCAGAATTGTTTGTGCTGCTTGTAAAACTTTTTGAATTGAATATATAAATTCTTGTGAGTAGGATTTTAAATTATAAAAATCTGTGGTAATATATCTATCATAAAAAGAGCCATTAAGATTCTTTTTAAAATATACTGCAATGTTGAATAAATCTAGAATCTTAATTTCAGTTCTATCTTTTGCAAATTTAAAAATTAATTGATTAATTTCTTGATCTTCTTTTGTGTTTTCCTAATAGTTAAAACTTTCTTGGTCTAATAAATTCAGTAAATCAATTAGATATTCTAGTTTTTTGTATTTTGAATCTAATAAAATATCGCATCTTCTTGGTAATCTTTCTCATATATAGGGGATAAATTATTTACGACCTTAACATCGACTTTTTTATTAGTTCTTCTAAAAAAATAAACTATGTCATCAATAACAGCCCATCATTTAGATATTTCAGCATAAAATGGTGTGTTTTTTGGCAGGATATTTCTGACCTGAGTTGCGAACTTAATATGGTCAGGATTTGTTTGATCACCGGCATTTTCTATTGTCATGTTTCAAAGCTTAGTAATGATATCATCAAATTCCATAGCCTTCTCAAAATATCGATCCTATTACATGCTTTATAATTTTTTTTTAAAAAAAAATTATTTAATTAAATTATTCATTTGGCTTTTTTTTTTTTAAAAAAACAATACAAATTTTTTTAATTTTGCTGGACGAATTGAATTAACAATATTTTAATAAGAGATAGCCAGCCAGTAACAATATCTATGATTGTTTCTGTTAATAATAAAATAACAATTAATATATAAATCAATTTTTTAAATTGATAATTGTCGCTTATTCAATCCAAATTTAAAAGTAATGCGACAAATACCAATGAACATAATTTAACAATGTTGAAAAAAAAGTACCTAATAATGCATTTATCACATAATTATGATTGTTTTGCAAAGTATTCATGAATTCATGAATTTCATATGTTAATGTTTCTGTAATTTTTATTAGTTAAGGTAGGAATGATAAATGATGGTAGTATAAAAAATTAATAATAATACCTGATGTCTTAATTGCATTTTTATGAACAAGCTTCTTCAATTCATGAATTTCGTCTGTTAATTTCTATTAGTATTATTATTTAAACTATTTTATAAGTTTTAAATAATTACCACTTGATTCATAATTCAGCTTAATGGTTTGAATTTGTTCACTTAAAAACTTAATACTTCTACTAATCTCATCTAACAATTTTTTGAAATATCTAATATGAATATTTATTTAAATATTTATTTCAACAGCATATAACGTATTTTACCAATACAGCTTAAAATATTAATTTTTACTTGTTTTAATTCAATTTCACATCCTAATAAAAGTTATAGTTATAATAATTAATAGAACAATCCACGAGTAAAGATGCAATCTATTATCATTTTTCATCAAAATTAGGGTTAATTTTGGGCCAAAATCACAATAGATTACATATCTAATATCGATTTTATACCAAATTTATATATTGTTATTACTTTTGGTCCCAATTATTAAATAGTTATTATCAAGTAATAATCGAATATTCTTGATTTCTTGACTTAATAAATTTGTTTTTGACTCATTTTTGATTTCGATTTCTTTAATCTTATTTAATAAATTAACCTCCTTCTCCAATCTATTCCAACATATTTCGTTTTCTTGTTCTAGATCATTTACTTTTTGCTTCTGATTTTTTTTACTTGTTTCTTGTTCCTTTTTAAAAAAGATTTAGTACTATTTTATTGCATTCATTAATTTGCAACTAATACTTACATTTCCTTTTTTAGATCGAATGCTAATTTATGATATTTATTTTTTATTTCATTAACTCTTCAAAATTTTTAATTTGAGCATTATTTGAAAATATTTATAAACAAATAAATATAAGTAATATAACTTAAATAAAAAATATCTTGTCGTTAAACCTTTTATTTTTTCATTAAGTTCTTTTGTTCGTTTATTGTATGTAGTTTTTTCTTTTTCAAAAACATTTATTTGCCTAATGTATTCACTTGCTTCTTTCTTAAGATTCTCTACTTGTTGCTTCAGATTTTTTTTACTTGTTTCTTGTTCCTTTCTAAAAAAGATTTAGCGCTATTTTATTGCATTCATTAATTTGCAACTATAAACATTTCCTTTTCTAGATTGAATGCAAAATTTTCTAATTTACGATTTTCATTTTCTATTTCATTAACTCTTTGGAATTTTAATTTTAGTATTATTTGAAAATATTTATAAACAAATAAATATAAAATATATAACGTAAATAAAATACCTTGATGTTAAACCTTTTATTTCTTTATTAAGTTCTTTGTTTTGTTTGTTATATATAGTTTTTTCTTTTTAAAACCATTTATTTGCCTAATGTATTTACTTGATTCTTTCTCCAGACTCTCTATTTGTTTAATGTAGGCTTGCTTTTCTTTTATATAAAAAGAAACTAAAATATTTTGTATTGAATTACTATCTAAATTATCAAGCATCCTTTCTAAGTTTTGAATTTGACGCTTCATATATTGACTAAATGAAATTATATGATCTGAATCCAAAATTTTTTTTGAAGAATAGTAGTATTTTTGACATCAACATTTGATAATTCATTATTTAAATTGGTAGATAATTTTTTGTCCAAATACTTATTTTCTAATATTGTTGCAATGCAATATATCGGCTTAAAAATAAAATCAGAATCTTCTTCAGATTTAAGATAAAGTCGCATAGAATCAATATCCAAAAGTCTTCCAATGATTATACATAACTATTGCAATTCTATATTTGTTAACGGATTATTCATGTTTTCGTTCGTATTTTCGAAAATATTTCCTAGATTACTATATAATAAATTTAGTAGCAAGAATAATTTTAATAAAAATTATCAAATGCAAAACTTACAGAGATTTGCCATTAAAGATCTCATTAACTTTTTTTGGAGTAAGGTTAAAGATATTATTTCCAAACTCTTTTCATGCCTATATTGATTAAAATGTTTAACCCTTAATTGTAAATAATAATTAACTCTTTTGTTACAGACCTATTTTAAACATTCATCAGAATCTTGCATATTAGTTAGTCGATTGTGGCTATTAATTATTATTTAGTTTCCTGTTAGAAATATAAATAATTAATTTGAATATTGATCTCCCTTATTATAACCTTGGTTAGTATTGTTCGTAATTTTACTACATTAAAATAATTAATTGTGCTCTGTTAAATTATTTATATATAAAAACTTCAGTTTCTGCAGTTTTTACAATAAAATAATTGATGAATATATTTAATTGTAATTCATAATTAAAATTTTTTATTGACTTTCATACTATCAAATAAAGGATATAAATTTATTTACTTCTAGTTTATTATTTTCTAAACACCCAAATAAAAAATGGATTCAAATAACCCTTCACCTAATTAAATGTTTACCAAAAATGAAAACCTTTCTTTCGCTATAAAACTTTACGAATTGGAAAAATTTGAAGCTGCCAAAAAACTTTTTTCTGATCTTTCCAAGAGCGATAATGAAGATGTAAAAAAAACAGCTGAAAATTACTTAAAAAAAATAAAACCGCCTAATAAATTTGTTTAATTGTGATTGTACTTGGTCAAATAAACATATCGAGAACAAAATATTTTATATTAGTCAAAATTGCTATTCTCCTGAACCATATTCCTTTAAGCCTTATTAGATTTATAAATAATAGCATGATATACTGTAAATTTTAAATAATATAAATAATCTATGGGATTATGAAGGAAAAAATATAGTTAGACAAAAAAAAATAATGAAATTATGGTGGTAACTCACTAGTTAAATCAAAACTATGTCAGCTATAATAAATATTTTACTATGATCAGATTTTTATTAGCAAGATTAAAAATGATCAATTAAACGACTTTAATTATAAAGAAAAACATAAAATTCTAAAAGTTTTCACACAAAAATTATACTTATTTATCTAATTTTTTCAATTGAAATCACTGCGCCAGTACTATCTAGCAGTTTGATATCGTAATATGGCAATTAAAGTGTCCAGAATTTTGCAGTGCATAATTTTGCTCGCTCTAAAAATATCTTTTTGTATTGTATCTAGTTTTTAAAAAATAATTAAAGTCACATTTATCTTATGGAGACAATACAAAAAAATATTTTTAGAGTGAGCAGAATTATGCACCGCAGAATTATGGACACCCTAATGGCAATGATTTAATTTGTGTAACGTGAAAATCTGTAATTAGGAATCTTGGGTCCAGAACCCTAGGACTGGTCTTGGGACCTAGTTTTTAAAAACTAGGTATCACATGATTTCACCATCCCATGAGTTAGAGTTTTCAGAATTATGCGGCAGTAAAATATGCGTACTCTAAAAATATTTTTATAAATTGTATTTAGTCACGTTTTTTTACAGAAACAATCAAGTTTATTTTTAAACTATATTACTGCCTCATAATTCTGGATACCCTATTGAATTTCAATTAATAATTCTATTTAATCAAATGAAAGTTTTATTATAATCTATCCTAATTGAAAATATTTCAGTGGCAAAACTGGACAATTAAAAAAAAAAAAGAAACTATTATTCTATTGAAATTAATATTTAAAATTTTTGATTTACCAAAAGTAAGCATAAAGCGTAATAATATAAAAGCCATCTTATCACTATTTTGAAAAAATTAATCTAGATTTATTTAAAGAAATAACATTAGTAACAAACCAAGATTTCTTTTATTTAGATAATTATTTGCCAGTTTTAAGAAATGATAATATTTTAAAAACTTTAATAGATGGAGCTTATTATTGTTTTCAAATTAATAATATATATGTTGTATATGAAAACGATGATACTAACAAAATTAAGAGTAGTGATTACAGTCTTTATACATTTCATTCTACTTATAATTATACTGCTACTTGTTTAGGTAAGTTATAGCCAAATGAAAATAATAGATGTGAAATTCTTATAATTCCAGGGTTTCACTTTCTCCAGTACTCAAATTTAAAGACCAACAACCATATAATATCATTCTACTCGAGCTCAGTATCCTACAGAAAATTTAAATACAGACTTCACAGAAACAATACTACCCCTAATAATGATAACAGACCAATATTAAGAGATATTAAACTGCCAATTTTTGCTGAACTAATAAAAAGTAATATATAAACTGAAGAAGATGCTAAGTTAGCACTGAATAAATTTGCTAAAAAACTGATGGAATATCAACACAAAGAAACCAAAAATAGATCATCTAACTATATTTTTTCCTTTATCATAAATAATTATAAATTGAAAGATTTTATTGATAATATTAG